CGCTATGCATACCCCTCCTCCTCCTCCTCGGCCTCACCCCATGACCTCATCGCCCCCTCCTCTTTCATTGCATCCTCCTCTCTCTTCTACTACATGCTTGAGTCCCACCTTCCCAAGCCTTCCTTCACCCATCTCTTCAATGTCTACAGCTTTATCACCCTCCTAGAGCTTCTCACCAAGAAGACCCCATTCCAAGACCTAGTGGAGGAGCACGATGCCGACATCCCTCGACAGGTTTGCTCCATGTGGGAGGAGGAGCGGAACGACTCTAGCGAGGACCCCAAGCCGTCCGAGAACGAGGCATTTAAGGAGAAGTTGACAATGTTGCTGAACATCATGGTGGCATGCATAATGGTCGAGGTAGAGAAGCGATCGCCAATGCAGGAGGCACGAGTGGAGGTGATGTTCTCGTCCAATAGCACAACCAGTCATCGGAGAGGTGGTCATACACAGTGCAGAGCTTGGCGAAGGAGCATGGATCGGAGGGCAATGACCGCAAGACATCTGTGTTAACATTGACATAGATGCAAAGGGGGAGGGATCCGCCACCACCAATGCCAACGATGCTACCGTCTGCCATCGATGTCGTTCACCATCAAATATTAAAAATATCTTTTTATCCTTTATTTTCATATTTTAGCTGCTAACATCGTTAGGGTAAATGGATATAATTATTTTATTTTTTAACTAAAGATATCAATATAACTTTAAAGTATAGGGACTAGGATGTTAAAAATAACTAACTATATAAGACAATATATAATTAGCCCTGAATCATGTAGAGTCACTCCATCATCACGTGCATTTTATGATCATCACGTTACTATTTTTGGTCAATGTACTTTTATAATTTTCATTTGAAATTAGTACTAAAACAGAATTCTTTATATCATATACCCAATAATGATCGTACCAAAATAGTTCATTTATTGGATAGAATGTGTTGAAAAATCGAGATAAATCAATTGACGAACAAATCCATTACATAAAAGCTGATTCGATAAAAAATTATCTGAATATTCTTAACTTAATTATTTATTTGAGGATATTTTTATCAATGATGAAATTAGGGTTAGCCTTACTTCAATGTGACTTATGATACTTACGATCTTTGTGACTTGGATTTTAATACGATGAAAAAAAAAAAGATGGATACCACAAATAAGAAGAATGAGATTTGAGGATCAGAATTAATATGAGGAGAATGAAACAAATATTATAACAAATAAAATGGAAATTATAATACAGAATTGACTCGTTGTGGTAGAATTAAGAAATATCATTTTGATGACTAAATCATCTTCATATTAAAAATTCATGTGTTTGTGTTATTTAAGTCATCACAATTACGTTGGATAAACTATTTTTTTTTATCATTGAATAATTTATCTTGGATTGGATTAGTGTAAGAACTATCAGGACAAACATTTAAACAGTGTTAGTCTGTATTAATAATTTTATATAATTTTTAATTAGTTTTAACACTTTAGAGTTTTACTATATATATAATTTTAAATTATCAATATATTTTATTTTTAAATTAAACATGTGATGTAGTTGACCCATCGATCTGACCAATGATCGAACGACTCAAGACTTATCTGATTTTAGTAACTATATTTCGTGTACTTATATTTATAACCGTACTTATTGAATATATTTAAAGTAATGATTGAAATTTTATATCGTATTAGAGTTTTGAGATTCACTCATTACGGGTATGATGCTATATATCGAACGGTATATTTAGATATACCACTCGGTATATATATATATATATATATATATATATATATATATATATATATATATATATATATATATATATATATATATTGTGAAAAAAAAAAATTCGTCGATGTGTCTCCTCCCTTCTCCTCGTGATATCGAGGATTCTTCTCCCCGCACGAATAAGAAGTTCCCAATAGATGAAAAGGGAGAGCGGTGTCGATCTTTATATTCTCTTCTTATTCTCCTTTTCTTTCTTCTCTCGCGATCACCGACCGACAATAATAAGACGAAAAGAGTATCGTCCGATACTTGATTTAAAGTTGGTGATAATTAATATGATGATCTTAATTAATAGAGGGGAGAGAGAAAGAAGATAATTTGAACTCATCTTCGCTGGAGGTTAATTACTTCAATTTAGACCAAAAAAAATCTTCTAATATAACTCAAATGACTCCGACATTTGGATAATTAAGCCTCTAATTACCGTATCAAACCCAACGAAGCATGGCCATTGATGCCCCACCCGGTCTGATTCGCGTCTGTCACGCACACGATGATGATGCCCTGTGTGCATAACGGCGGAAAACAAAAGACTCGAAGTGACCGAGACAGACAACACACATATACATAAGACAAAAAACCGGAACTAAATCGATCGAAATGGAGAATTCCCCTCTCTTTTCCTTTTTGTTGCCGCTGTTGATTGCGAGGAGGAGAAAGAAGGGATCGTAACACAGACCAGTTGTTTGTTCTTTGTTGTCTCCTTTCGCTCCCTGCTGCCGAGAATCGAGAGGAAGGCGGAGGCAGATCGGTCACCGGTGTGATGGCGCCGAAGGTCGGGCCGCTACTGCCGGTGTCCGATCACAGGGGCGGCGATGATGGCGCCCTCCTCTTCAAGGGCTCCGCCATGACCATGCGAGGCGCTTTCGCCGCCCTATCCTACATGACCTGCGCCGGTCTCCCCTTCACTATCCTCTTTTTCTTTCTTTGATCGTTCTCGAGCTCGCATATTTTGTTTCTTTAATGTTTTGAGATTAACGTAGATCTTCAACGAATTTGCTTTGGAATTGTTGTGAATCTCTTCCGCATTTAGCAAAATGACCCTTCTATTGTTCGGACATTGTGTTTCAGTTAGGTTTTATGCGCGGCTGCTTCAGACTTGAAGCTCGTTTGCAATTTGATTTGAGTTGGCAAGTGATCTGTAGGTATTTGTGTGAATTCGATAATCTTGAGGTTAGAGGTGTTCAAAGAGGTTTGAACTGAATCATTAAGGGTCGAATCGAACCAAATTCAAAAAACAGTTCTGTTAGTGAAAGGAACATGTATACATGTATACATGTACATGTACATGTATGCATGTATGCATTTACATGTACACACACACACATATGTATATGTATATGTATATGTATATGTATATGTATATGTATATGTATATGTATATGATTGCCACAATATCATCACCTAGATGACATATAAGTGCCAATATATTAGTCCATAGAATGAGAGGAGTCATGACTGATTGTATCTACTAGATAATACATCGATTACATAATCCAACAGCAACTTTGTTGGGAATTTTGGCTGAGATCATCATGTAAGGCTGACTGCATATCTATACCTTCTTGGATAATGCTAAATTGAGATCAACGGTCATCCATCAAGAATATCATGAAAGGAATCATGGTTATATTGCTGAATCAGTTATGGCTTTTGCAACTTCCCTTTGTAGACATACTGTATCAGTTATCATATAGCAAGCACAAAAAAATACATTCATTCATTTAGTGGGAATCAAGTTCTAAGGAGATGAGCCGAGTAATGAACAAAGAGGAAAAAAGGAAGACCCTTTTGTTGGGTGTGTGGAACCTAAAGCATTTTCAAATGAAAAACATAATTACTTTCTCCAAAAGCCGGTAATGTTTAATAATTATATATATGGTTTGATTTAAGGAAAGTGGAGCAGTTGGTCTCGCTAATTCTTTTGGTGAGTCCAAGAACTAAGTCTTAGCTTCTGCATACAGTATAACAAGTTGGAAGTATTCAATTGTTTTATTATGGTATCGGTTGATCAGATGTCAAATCTTTCTATATCTTGAATCCACCATCAGTGAAGGACAAAATTTCACTAGGTAGCAGAAGCTGTAATGCATCAATCAGGTTTACAATTGCACAGATATGAGTAGAATAAATTGAACAAGAATTTTGTTCAAATACTTCATAGATAGAACTTAGAAGGCCATTAACAGTGGTACTATTGTTTTCTTACAGAGCAAAACTTAGTTTCAAAATAATTGGTATTTATATAGCACAAATTGAATATAGAAGATTGGATTTTTATTTAGAGGAAGTGAAAATAGGTGCACAAGGAGTAACTGATTCACCACTTCGCCTAATAAGCGAGCCAGTTTATCTTGTTTTCCTGGCATAAATACCAGGATCAAATTATGAGTTTGTTTTAATTGTCAAGTGAAGTAGGCGCATATATTACATGTTATTGATGAATGCATTTTACATCAAACAAGCAAAAGGAGCTGCATTCGTCATGGTGTGTGTGTGTGTGTGTGGAATTTATCACTTTACCATTGTTTCCCATTGGTTTAGAATTGTCCTTTCTTCTCTTATTTTTATCATCCCATTTACCTTTTGTGTTGGTTGTACCTTTTGCAGTGCTTCTGGTTATGTTCAACAAAGCAGCTCTATCTTCATACAATTTCCCTTGTGCTAATGTTATTACTCTTTTCCAGGAATTTTATTATTTTTATGTCATTCTTCCCCTTTGTGACTTGAATGTTTATCTGTTACTGATCACTTTTCATGACACATTAGGTTAATGATATCATCCTGGGGCGATCCCAAGGATGCTTGATAGGGTGAGGAATAAATTGAAATCAAGTAACGTTAGGATGGCATCAGCTGGTTTTTGCTAGCTTGGAAAAGATGAAGTAAAAGTTTAGAAAATAGAAGGAGAGCAGGCAGAAATCATGGAGAAGAGACTATGCCTCTAATATCTGTTCATAACCATATTTTATCAAAATAAATTTTGTATACAATCTGAAAAAAAAAATTTCACCCTTCTATTTTATAAAAATTGTCTAGCTACTTTTTTACTTATTCTAGGGCCACCATGCCCTCCAGGACTTATATAACTAATGTATTTTAACAACCTAGTATGAAGGAACTGTTTAAAAAGTGAAATGCATGAAGGAACTGATTAAGAATACACATGTGCTTTGGCCGCAGAACCTAATATATGTTCTCACTTCTCTGTCCAATCATTGTCTGCCTCTTTCTAACCATAAACTGATGATAAATATAAAATCCAATTCTATATAATATATTACCGTTGGAGCCACCATATAATCAGACCTCAGGATAGCGACTTTTCATCAGTTTTTATTAGCCATTAGACAGTTTCACTGCTTATTTGTGAAGATGAGCAAAAACACAAAATGATAGCAACCACTAAAATATACCATGAAACATATTACAGAATATAGAATCTTAACCCTGGTCCAAACTTCTCTGCCTTGCTCCAAGCAAAATGTAAGAATCTAACACCAGGAGAATTAACTTTCCCTCGTCTTATGGAGGAATTATGATGTATGATGATCAGATTGTCTATATGCATAGTTTTAAGCGCTTCTAGCATCTCTCCCACGATGAAAATGCTATCAACTACTCGTTTGTCTAGGTTAATTTTTGTTTTTTCTCTCAGATGAACTTCTTGTTTCATTGCAATGAAGCGTTGTAGAATTATTTGTTTTTCAAATGGTGAACCACATAAAGCAGGCCTTGTACCTCCTGAAACCATATTGCAGACTCTTCCCCTTTCCATGGCATATTTGCTTTACATGGTACGCAGCACATATTCTCTATGAAAATGAACTTGGCTATATTTTTGTACCTGCTACTATTAGAATCATCAGTGATATCATGCAAATCATCATGGCAAAAGCTGGCTACAATGGAGTCTGTACTACGAGTGAATGTTCCAATGTATACCACCCTTAGGCGTACAACTGTTGTGTTTACAATGATTGTGGAGTATCTACTAACAAGGCAAAAGTACACCCGCCATGTTGTTGGCAGGTAACTAAATTTTTGAAAAACTTATTTTTTCTTGAGGCTTAACATTTTATCAAACCAACTAAATGCATGTGTTTTATGGACCACAGTGCTTAAATTTGTAAAGCGATTGTTTCTGAACAGTTTATATATTGAAACATAGATCAGCATTCGTGTTTAATATGACCGAAGACTAAGAGTTATTTTGAGGTGCAGCTGGATGCATTTTATTTTTTGCTGACAGTATTCAAGGGCAATGTCCCTAACATTTTTTTTCAAATTGAAACATATGGCACAGTTATTCTCATAGTGGTCTGATCTAATTACTAACATCATAAAAGCATTTTCCATTCATTTTCTTATTTCATTCTTGATCATTGACCAAGGGTTTTACCAGTGTTATATTGATTGTTCTTGGAGCTTTTGTCGCCGGAGCTGGAGACTTAATCTTTCAGTGCTTATGGCTATGGCATGGTTTTTGCTGCTAACATGACAACTGCAATATATCTGGCATCTGTAAACCGTGTTGGTAGTATCCCTACTACACACTTCTACTTAATTTTCATTCTTTGATTCATCTTCACATTTTTGCTTGATTTCTCTTTTCAAGGAATATTCAGTGGTCTCAATAGCTTTGGTCTCATGTGGTGCAATGGTAATCATGCTGGAACAGCCTCAGTTTAGACCCATTCATTTGACAAAAATTATTAACAACCATTTAACGGAATGAGGTTTATATTTTTTTATCATAGTTGTTTTTCAGGAATAGTGTGTGGACCAATCTTGTTATTATGGACATATTTTCGTGGTGATTTAGGGCTTACAATGAATTTTCCCTATCTTCATTCTGTTGGATTTCAGGTAGGTCTCAGTGTGTGTGCATGCGAGCCTGCCCTTGTGTGTTTGCTTGCAAGCATTTGTGGTCTTTCTTCTTTTCTTTTACTTCTTTCCTTTTTTTAATTATATTCTGTTTGTTAGATATAGAGCATAAAGCAAAGCACAAAGTAGCAAAAGATTCAGCTTCTTCACTGAGTCTACACTGTTAGAACAATTGCTGGTTGATTTTTGCAGGTTGTGATGCTACTTTCCTGTATACTGGCATTTTTTTTAACACAACCTTGAATTCTGCACTCACACAGACAATGTGCGGCAAACTGAAGGTTTGATTTCCTTTACAGCTGGCCCTTTTTGTTACTCATTTCTTGCATTTAAATCTTTTTATGTGGAATTTGGTCTGTGTTTCTTTAGGATCTATTTACCATCGGACTTGGCTGGCTGTTGTTTGGTGGGCTTCCTTTTGATGTGGTAAGATCATATTCTCATCCCCATTCTGTCAGCTTTTTCAGTTTCACAGTCCTGAAGTTCTGAGTCACTTCCTCTCCAGCTGAGTGTCACCGGCCAAATTCTTGGTTTTGTGGGCTCTGGTTTCTACGCATACTGTAAAATCAAGGGAAAGTATAATTTCATACAGCTGAGCCAGATATATGACAGGATAAGCCACCGATGGGGTCCTGGATTTCACTCATATCTCACTTGTGAGATGGAATTAGCACTTGGTGGTGCCAGCTCTCCTCCAGGTATGAATTTTTTGTGGATGTTACATACGCCTCTTGATGATCCATATGCATGCATGTGAAACAGAACCTTCGCTTAGCTGTTGAGGTTATCAATTGCATGTGATTGCATTATTATTTTTTTTTCCGCTGACCTAGTAGTATGATTATATTTCAGGCTTTGATTAGAAATGAAACTAGTTCTTCTTTTCCCTCTTTGAAACGAAGCATGGTTCATTGAACTGGTTGATTCAAATGTTGACCAATGGGCTCCACATGGCTGACACATCGGAGCCACTTGGTCGATACGTCAACTCCAAGTGGAGGACATATAAGCTCCACGTGGTCAACCTATGGGCTCCACTTGGTCGACACATCTAAGCCACCTGTTCAACACGTTGACTCCTAGTGGATGACACATCATCTCCACATGGTCGATAAGTTAGAGTCACTTGGTTGACATGACGGAGCCATCTAGTTGATCATTCATCGTCACCTTAGTGTCACATCCTAGAGAGTAAAGCCATAAGGTTGCACTCGATGAATGCCACGTGGAGAACAATTATGTAATCTTAGGTTCGACATCGGTTTACTGGTGAATATGGTCGAACTTCACGCTCTCATTACCGTATGAACTGGGTGATGAGCGAACGTAATGGTCCCAAGCACCTATTAAAAAAAGGGACGTATAGATACGTTTCAACACAATGAACACCCTAAGTTCGACTTGTCTGATTTATTTGACTTGTTGATTACTTAAGTCTTGGAAGGGTATTGTCAGGAGTGCCCCCAACATAATCTTGCAGGGATCGGATGATACTCAAAGGAGTTTGCCTTGAAATTGACTAGAAAAAAGGAATTAGGTTGGATCTGAGCTAGGACAACCAAAAATTGAACTAACGGGAAGCAACTGCAAAATGACTCTTGGGCCTTATAAGGAGAACCTTGACATTAAAATTATATGGATCTCTCAAGAGAATGCGTATTTCGTTGGTGTAGAGATTTTCTTCGTTCATTGAACTCGAAATCTTATGGAAGGCCAAAGAATATGTATTTGGTTGTTGTAGATTCTGGCATTTATCATTCAAGCTAATCCTTTTCTTTCTCGAGTTGGTATTTTAGAGTCTGTTCTTGAAGACGTACAAGCCACCATTTTCAACCATGTTTCACAATCTCTCACCTAACGCTTCTGTTCTTCAAGTCATAGTCTCTCACCTAATGAAACCGACACGACCTGTTGCTTCCGTCGTTTGTCAAAAAGGCCTTCTCTCCATCCTTCTCCATCAGTCACCGGAACATACTTCCACCTGTTGCTTCCAACAACATTTGACCTTCTTTATCTCAAGGAGATATTTTAATGGTTAAAACTTGATACGTAGAGAATCTGTGGTTTATAAACTCAAGGAGATATGCTTATGTAATGTTTGAGTCATAGTAATCAGAACATATTTGACCTTCACTATGGTTCTTCTTTTGTCTTTGCTTATAGAAGTGACCCATCTTTTTGCCTCGGGAACTCCTACTTAGGATCCTCTCGTAACAAAAGCAAACGCTCGATCTGTGTAGAGTCCCACTGAAAGGTTTCCTTGGTTGAGTCCGGATAAATAGCAAGCCTCCTATTTACTTCATCACTTCTTGTCGTCACTGACGTACGAGGAGAGTGAGGGAGAGTTTGTGAATCTCCAGAAACCAAACAGATTTAGTTCTATTTTTTTAATATTAAATTTATAGTATGCACATCAACACGTTCTTGTCGTGATACATAAAATTATACGGATAGCTTAGATGGTCAAGGGTGTATTCAGGTCTTTTTCTAAGTGGTTGTGGGTTAAGATCCTCTCGTGACCATCTGTTTCGGCGATAGATGACTGTCCCCATTCATCATATGTGCTTGATGCAATATATATATATCACTGAAGGGAAAAGTAAATATCAATGAGCGATAGATGCTCCGTGAGGGAGAGAAAGCGTCAGCTGGTCTAATGATTGGTTGGGCAATCCACACATCAATTGGGCCGCCTAGTTTGACTTTGACTTTGTCTTACCTTCTCCTGCATAACCTTTCTGTATCATACATACATAACTTCAGCACTCCCAAGTATTTTTCCATACAAACTCTTAGTTTTGTTATCACAGTTCCTAATAATCGATTCATGCACTACTAATGTGCGCGCTGGGAATCATTCTTCTTTACCTTCATCAATCAAGTTTATAATATATACCCAAAAGCCCGAAGTTTAGTGGAGAGTTGGTGGATGGGTGACCAAGCACCAACTGGTAATGGAGAATCGTATTACATACAGCCACCATTTCTATGTCTGCCGCTATCATCACCAACCATCCTTGTGGGACCGAACGGGGACCCACACCACTCCCACCCCATCCGTGTTGCCCGCCTTACCCGACTCACCACCAACTCTCTCTCTCCCTTTTCCCATTATAAAAGTCTTGGGCTCTCTCCCCTGTCAAACCCAGGCGACGCGGAGAAAGCAGCGGAACCAAATCGGAGAAGGAGAGAGCAATGGCATCGGAGAACCAGAACGGCGACCGCAGGCACCAGGAAGTCGGCCACAAGAGCCTTCTTCAGAGCGATGAGCTCTATCAGGTACATATCTTTGTTCTTGCGATCATCATCTCTCCTCGCGAGTCTTTTACGGTCGTAATCCCGGATTCAAGTTTCTCCTCGATCCTACCGCAGTACATATTGGAGACGACCGTGTACCCTCGTGAGCCTGAGGCCATGAAGGAGCTCAGAGAGATCACTGCCAAACATCCATGGTACGCACGCGCATTCCTGCCATTTCCTCTTGCGTGAAAGACTCCTCTGCCTCCCAGATCTTACACGGTGGTATCTGATGCAACCAGGAACTTGATGACCACCTCGGCCGACGAGGGGCAGTTCCTCAACATGCTCCTCAAACTGATCAACGCCAAGAACACCATGGAGATCGGCGTCTACACGGGGTACTCCCTCCTCGCCACCGCCCTCGCGCTCCCCGACGACGGCAAGATCCTGGCCATGGACATCAACCGGGAGAACTACGAGATCGGCCTCCCCGTGATCCAGAAGGCGGGCGTCGCCCACAAGATCGACTTCCGCGAAGGCCCCGCCCTCCCTGTCCTCGATCAAATGATTGAAGATGTAAGTCGACGTCCTCGATCCAGATCTATCTTTCCGCCATTCGTTTGTAGGTCGATCGACGAGTTATGAAATGGGATCCTGGGAACCGCAGGAGAAGAACCATGGGTCGTTCGACTTCGTCTTCGTGGACGCGGACAAGGACAACTACATCAACTACCACAAGCGACTGCTGGAGCTGGTGAGGGTGGGCGGCGTCATCGCCTACGACAACACGCTGTGGAGCGGGTCGGTGGTGGCGCCGCCGGACGCCCCCATGCGCAAGTACATCCGCTACTACCGGGACTTCGTGCTGGAGCTCAACAACGCGCTGGCGGCGGACCCCCGCATCGAGATCTGCCAGCTCCCCGTCGGCGACGGCGTCACCCTCTGCCGCAGGATCAAGTGATGATGATGATCCGAGGAAGAGGATTCAGATCTGTGTCCGACGCAGTGACTCTTTATGTTTTCCTTTTGCTTCACTTCGTTGTTGCCGGGTCAAGTTTACACAAACATTTACCGTCCTTTTTCATTTTAATTGCCTCATCGAGACTTGTACTATTTTATGCCCATCATTGACCCACTCTTAAAAGTTGTGATGCAGTATTAAGTTACGGGGTCCTATTTACTTCTCTTACTACTGCGCTTGTTGACGCTGTCACGGCGTCTTCTTCTTTTTGTGTGTAGCAGCATGTGGTTTAAGAGTTGGGAAGCCGTTGTTGACGGAGTCGGCGAACGGAAAAATAAAAAGGTTGGCAGCAACCAGTGGTCCAGATGGACCGCACCAGACACGAGGAATGAGAGGCCAACCACGAAGACACACGTGGCGATGGGATGGCTACGATGTTTGGTACGACTATGATGGATGCGTGTGGACCGTCCGTCGTGTATTGCCACTCGATATTCTCTGGACCCGGTTCATTGAATCGGTTTGGATCAGTTCAGTGAAAATTTGATTTAGGTGGGCACCTTCTTTCTTTCTCCTTTCATCGATCGCTGCCATATTTGGTAAAAATTAATTTGATTTGATAACTGCATCCATGTTGATGCAGATACAGTAATCATCCGCTGCATCTTATTATCATTAATTAAAATATTAAAATTATTTTTTTTATTTTCGTCGATAAAATCGATAATGTTAGATTAAATAAATTTAGATCTCAATATAAATTTAAAATATTAAAAAGATAAAAATAATATGTAAATTAAAGCCTAGCATATTTATCTCACATCTTTTACACTTAAGCACCTTTTGGTTCTACGTGGCGTAATCCGCAGTAATGAAGCCGGATGACGATATCGATTGTGTGGGCTCGATTGTTGCTTCGCATCGGGGCAACGAAAGAAAGCGGTTCACAAGTCGCTCTCGTCCCATCGCAAGCATTCGATTGCAACCAATCCCATCGTGACAGCAGCACCGGAGCGATTCACGGCACAAATAGGAAATAAAGAGAGAGCAGATGTGATTTGACGCATTAGCATTCATTTGGTTTGGGATGTGATTCTTGAAAATTTTAGATTTTATTTTTATTTTTATTTTTTTGTCAATAGTTAAGCTAATGATTGTTTTTTTTATTTTTATTTCAAAAAAATATAAATGGTGAAGATGAGATTTAATCGGAGCCTCACTATTAACAATTAAAATATCATTTGTTGATATTTTAAATTCTGGATTTTTAATATTGATCAATATTTTCGTTGTAAATTTTTTCGATGAGATAACCATCAATTTTTAATAAATAAATCTAGTACATAATTAGTATATCAATTTTGGATATGGTGGTAAATCACGTATCACATAGTTTAGGTATGCATAAGATAATACTTTTTTATTTAAATAAAATCTAATTAAATTAATTTTATTATTTTAATTATTAAAGCATATTCTAATTGTTCGATTAACATATCGGGTCGGATTCAACTAAGTTCGTATTCTACGTCTATTTCGATGTATGAAGATATTGAATAAAATTCAAAGTACATCAAATTCTACGAAATTATATCGGAACATATCCGATAAAATCTTTTCAAAACTCAAATGAATTTTTGAATCAATGATTTTAGTGGTGTAATTGTATCATAGGATTGAAGCCATCATCTTTCTGATCTAAGGATTATTGATGATATAATATTAAGTTATCAGATAGTTATTTTTACGTCGTTATAATACTCATAATTAGTAAATGTTAGGTCAAGCAAAATTGACTGCCACGAGCTCTAGAAGCTACGTTACGAGCTGGCCTGCCCCAAATCCCCCGCACCGCACCGACACACTTGCCGTAGCGGTCAATTCTTATTTCGAGTCCATTATTTGCCTCTCATTCGCTCCCTCCCTTTGGTCCGCCATAACCATTACCACCATCGCCCTTCTTCTTCTCCTCTCTCTCGTCTCGCATCATCAATTGGGTAGTGGTTGGTGCTTCTCTCTCATTCTGACATCGCCTCCTCTTCCAATTATATTAGATCTGCCCCGTTCTCCTCCTCATTCTCTCTCTTCGCTCTGCTGGATGGGGAAGATGATGGCGCGGCCGGCCACTCTGCTGCTTCTACTAGTAGTAGCTGTGACGGTGGCGGATGCGTCCAAGTCGAAGCAGAAGACGTGCGACAAGGGGTGGGAGTGCAGCGGGAGCGTCTACTGCTGCAACGAGACCATCACCGACTACTTCCAGGTGTACCAGTTCGAGAACCTCTTCAGCAAGCGCAACGCCCCCGTCGCCCACGCCGTCGGCTTCTGGGATTTCCAGTCCTTCATTACCGCCGCCGCCCTCTTTGAGCCGCTTGGTTTCGGTACCACCGGCGACAAGCAGACCAAAATGAAGGAGGTCGCCGCCTTCCTCGGCCACGTCGGCAGCAAGACCTCCTGTAAGTCATCTCTCTCCCCAATTAATTGCTGCACCTAATCGAATCTATTAGTTGCATCCATGAGAAATTGCATCGGTTTAGGAGTGATTTCGATACCAAATTGTTACGGAATTGTGGGTCTGTGCATTGACTAGTTCTGGAATCATGCGAAACTAAAAGGGGAAAGGAGAAATAAGAGGATCGGCCGTTGTAACCTTTGCCAAAGGCAAATCTTTGAGACACCAAAAACATGGCGGATGATAGAACGATATGAACAGGTCATGCATAATATTAGTTTCTTGGCCAAATCTGTGTGTCCATCAACATATTTAACATCTTTTGTAATGCTGTACGTTTCTGCTTCAGTAGGGAAAGATTTTGAGTCTCTATTTGGTTAGGCATTTCGTCTTTAGAATAAGAGATAACTATCCACCTTGCTTTTATGCGCAGTGCATATCAGGGAGCCACACATCATAGGCATTCATTCTGTCTATTATGCAGATCTGACGCAATATATTAGTCGATGGCTTCTGCTTTAGTTAGATCTATATACATATAGGTTTTGGTTTTCAAGAACAATAGTCGTGGGTAATTGAGCACAGCAAAAAAAAAATGCAGAGACTAATAGCATATGAAAATAATAATCAGGCAACTCAAACAATGCCATTTCTCTCAACCAATCTCTGATGTCTTTAAATATTTCAACTACAACCCTAAGTGAAATAAACCACATGTAGATTTGAAACAATTGGAAAAATTAATATAATAAAATATGCATCCCAACTGGACTCTTTTGCATTCGTCATCATGTCTGGTCTCAATGAACAAGAAATCAAGAACGAAGAAAGAATTAAACCAGACATTTGGAGATAAATGAACCAAATAACATGGACACATATTTACTCAGTTAAGACTTTCTAGTTGAAAATGTAAACAAAAGTTGACTGAGGAAAGCTAATTTTGGTGATCCAATAGGTGTGTAATATCACCATTTCCCTGCACAATCAGATTTCTTTGATAGATGGGATTTGAATTCGGCTTCTGCAGAAATAAGATTGAAGGTATTCCTGCAGCTGTTGCTCCCTCTTGAGCTTCTAGCAGCTATGCCCAGACTAAATGTAGTGATGCCTGTTAAGGGACAGACATCTTGTACAAAGAACTGTTGAAAAAAATGTTAATCTTTATGGAATCCTGATCGTGGAGAGTTATTGACTGTACCTAATTCTGGGCTGCATTCTGGCTGATGATACCTCAGATATCTAGGAACGACTGTCAATAGCTACTTTAATAATTTTCTTATTACGTATATACATTACCGATGATCTTTGTTATAGGTGGGTATGGTGTTGCCACTGGCGGTCCACTAGCATGGGGATTGTGCTATAACCATGAAATGAGCCCAAGTCAAGACTACTGTGATCCAAACTACCTTTATCCCTGTATCGATGGAGTTCAATATTATGGACGTGGTGCTCTGCCTGTGTACTGGTATGTCAAAGATATGCTTCTAGTTTGTGTTTGGTTTAAGGATGGAACGCGGTCATTAAGCTCATTGCCGGATTCAAATAAATCGAAAGCTTCCGAATCTAATCATTGCCTTTCAGGAACTACAACTATGGACTTGTTGGTGATGCTCTAAAGGTAGATCTGTTGAGCCATCCAGAATACCTGGAGCAGAATGCTACCCTGGCTTTCGAAGCTGCCATCTGGAGGTGGATGACCCCGATGAAGAAGAAGCAGCCTTCGGCCCATGATGTGTTTGTTGGAAACTGGAAGCCCACAAAGAATGACACTTTGTCGAAAAGGTTACCTGGCTTTGGGCTTACGATGAATATATTGTATGGAGACAATATTTGCGGCCAGGGCTACATTGATCCCATGAACAATATCATATCTCATTACCAATATTACCTGGACTCGATGGGAGTAGGGCGCCAATTCTCTGGAGACAATGTGGACTGTGCTGAACAGGTGCCTTTCAATCCATCGTACAAAGCTGCTACATCCTAAGCCACCATTAGTAAGCTGTGAGAAATACCGGTTGATTCTTCAGCCACAATGCCCCAAATAAAATGTTGTGTCGATTACCGCTCTGCCGTAAGACATGTTTGTTTGAACGCTTGCTGCTAAAGCTCGAGCAAGCATCATGTGTTATTCTTTATAGTAACTGGACTGCATTCAGAATTCATCATATATCATTTGTAATTGTCCATCGTGCAAGTGGTGTCACTCATTATGTATTCACTCAAATGTATATGATAACTACTCTCGTCTTTGTTGTGGAATTTACAATACATGTATATCTATGTTGTGTTTCAAGGTGATGGTTGCCCCATCGGTCACAAATTGAAATAAGATCTTATGCTTAGAGTTCGTAAAGCCTCTGATCTTAAAAAGTTGCAAGGCAGCTGTGTGCGAAGGCTGTTCCTGTTTTGCTTTCCGTCAATAACTGGTTACTTTTCCATGGTGATACTGAGATTTTATCTGCTCATGTTAGCCAGCAGTACTCGAGGGAGTCAAAAACCTAGTGATGATGAGCAATGCTATTGTGATGCAGCTAAGTTTGTGCAGGTGGCCATCAGTTTCTTCCAAATGCTTATCTATATATGTCGAATAAACCTCCTTAAATAGAATGCTTATATGTTGGGTTTTGTCTCAGACAAGATATAATATATGTTTGCACCAGCTCAAGCAGGGTTTTGCTTGCTTGGCATTGCAACTGCGAGACGAGAAAGCCCTTCCGGTGCTTCCATCAACCACCCGCATCGCCGACCGACCTAAACGCCACCCACCTTCCTGCTCCCTTCGCGTTTCTTTCTTCTCTTACGCTGGATCTCTCACGTTCACCGTCTCCATGAAACACGCTTTTAAGTTCTCCATCCAACCAAGCTAGCTGGCCGCGGGCTTGACCTCTCGCCCGTCCCACGTGCTTCCTCCTCCGTTCCCCACAGCAACACCCTTCCGCGAAGTCCCACACAAGCCAAAGTGAAACGATGAAGTTGTCGGAGATGCTTCTTCCTCATCAGGGGTTCGAAATCACAGTTCGACGCTTCGGATTCTAAGAAGAATACAATCCAGTCGTTGACCTCCTCTCGTAGCGTCAGTTGTTTGCATGCGTGCATGGAGACTCCCAAGTGAGCACAAAATGAACCGCCAGTGGCTTCCGCGTTGTGTGCAGGAAGACGAAGCCTTCACACGTCGGAATTCTTGAGATATCCATACAACCCCAGTCGTGTTGTACTACTTGAGTCAATGCTACATTGATTACTGGAACATGCAGTGTTTTCAGATCAGGCGTCGGAATAAAGTAATGCATGATTCCTGACCTTCTACCTATATAAAAGCACCACCCCTCCCCTCCTCCTCAACATTAGCGAGTCCAACAGGAAGCGGCAGTACTGTGCAGCGAATGGGGATCGGCATGACGAGCTTGGTGAAGAAGATGGTAGTCTGCGGTGGCGGCAGGAGCTTCCCGGGCGGGCTGCCGGAAGGCCGTATCTGGGTGTGCGTGGGCACGGAGGGGGCGGCGGTGCAGAGGTTCGAGGTGGAGGCGAACTTCTTGAACCACCCGCTCTTCGAGGACCTGCTGCGGCTGTCGGTGCCGGAGTTCGGCTACGCATACGAGGGGGCGCTGCGGATCGCGTGCGGCATCGACTTCTTTCTCTACTTGCTCCAGCGGCTGAGGAGCAGCGACCCCTCCGTCCACTACATGGAGCTGCAGGACCTGAAGGCCAGCTTCTACGAGTCGGCGGGCGGTAGCGGACAACATCGTCCGAGTTGCCACCACCACCGCCGCCGCCGATTCTAATTTTCCTATAACAAAACTATTCTCTAATTCTATTTTTTTTTCTTCTTCTAAAAAAAAAGAAGAAATATTTGCTCTCTCTGCTTGTAATTAAATATTATTATTGTTTTACTTATATACATACATTCTTGAAAAGATTTGGGTCCTAAATTCTAAGAAAAGAGATGTTCTCTGCTCAAAATTAATTATAATGAAGTGTTTTT